GGTCCCGCAGCTCGGTGCGGGTTGTCCCGATGCTCGGTGCCTGTCCGTCTTCCGTGGGAAAACAGCTCCCGTTCTCTCTTTCCCCGCAGGGAACTGCCGGCGGGGTCTGCGGGGGAGCAGCTCCCAGGCGATGCTGCTGCCGGCGTGGGAAATGCGCCTCTACGGGCTCCTGTCCGTGGGCTCTCACCTGTATGCCTTCTACGAAGCACACCAAGTGTCTCAAAGTAAGTCTCCACTGTGGGTGTGCTGTGGGTGCGCTGCCCACCCGTGGCCGTTGAGCCTGCTTGGTTTGAGTTGTTCTCTCTGGGCCGGTTTCTACTTTGCTCCTCTGCAAGGAGAGCCTGTGCTCTTCCTGGCTGCAAACCAGCCCTGTGTGAGGAAGCAGTAGCGATATGCCAGCTGGGCAGAGAGCTTTGTCCCAAGGTTTTTCTGCCTCAGGTGCTGGGAGGGCCCTTGGCAATGGATGTCCTGGTACTTGGTTGTCAGGGGGCTAATGAGGGAGACCTCTGAAACTCAGTTACTCAGATGGGGGAAGTTCAGGAAAGTAGGGTCTGAATTGGAGTTTTTCCTGCCTTGTCTTGAACCCTCTCACCTGCAGCTCCTTGGAGGTGGATGTTTTAGAAGCAGCTGTGACCTCCTGTTGGTGCTTGCTGGGGATCGAACCTGTGGAGGTTGCATCCCACCTGCATCCCTGACTTTCCGTGCTCTGGCTGCTGTGTCCTTAGCAAAGTTTTGCTTTTCCCTGCAGAGTATGAAGCTGTGATGGACAGAAGGTTTGGGCTGGAACCCGGGACTCTCTTTCGAGGCCTCAAAAAGGTAGGATGGGTGACTGGTACCAGTGTCTTTTATTTTGTGGCAATAATGTGAATGCTGTGTTTCCATGCTCTTTGCTCACCTGAGCCTCTGATTTAGCTTCAGAAGTTTGTAGTAGCTTTGGAGATTTCAATATTCGTAGTTAATTTTAGTGTGATTCTAATGAGAGAGAGATACTTGCCAGGTGTGTTTCGATCTAGGAATCATAACCAAAGTTTTGCTTCTTTTCTTGATCCCTGGCCTAAGTATTTTTCCTTTGTTACATCACTGTTTGAGTGTTTGGCCTTAAAAGCTATGATCACCCTTGACATTTCCTCTGGCCTTTTTCCCCTTTTTCCTGTCACTGGGTGGTTTGAATAATGCTTAACATCAGTGAACACGTGTTTTTCTCTTGGTTGACCTGTAGTACAGCAAAGAGAATGGATTTTTTGTGGTATAAGGGTTTAAAGAAACATGGTTGGTCTTAAAGAAACTAATAAGAAAACTAGCACCCCTCTACCCCAAACCAAAAAACAACTAAACCCCACCTCCCACCTTGCTTGCTTTTGACCTCACCTCTTTTTGAATAATTGCAACTAGTGCATGCATGCAACTAATATTGAGGATGGTCTTAACACAAGACCAGGAATGCATGTCTGTGGAAGTATTTCGGTGTTCAGGCCCACCATCGCTGCTTGTAAGGGACCCTTGACATATGCTTTCAAGAAAGCCATAAAGCAATTGTGGAGAGGAACTTTTAGTGGGGCTCCTATGGGACATGGGGCTACCAGCTGATTCCTCTTACCTGATTTAGATAAAAACTACCTGTCACAGGAATCTCCAGCTGACCTGACTTTGTCTAATCATGCCTAGGCTTGGTTGAAACAGGGACTGAAACTTCTCTCCCAGCAAGGTGCCTTTTCACCTAAACTCTTGGTTTTTCCAAGGTGGACCAGAGTTGCTCTCTGAATCCCTCAGAAGAAGTGAGGGGCACCCACAGGGTAGGCAGTGCTCTGCTCCTCTGATGCCTTTCTTAAAGGCTGACAGCATTTGTAAAAAAATAAAAATTCCTGGCTAAACTTTGCTTGAGTTAAGTATAGTCCAAAACTGTTTTGCTTTTTCTTTCTAAAGGGGGGAAAAAAAAATCCTAAAATTAAAAGGATCAGGGCAAGTAGGGGTGTGAATTTGTTGAGTTTGAAGAGATGGTCAGGAACAGTAGTAGCAGACTAATTTATTTTTTACTGAGAAGCTTCCTGACAGGGAACCAAAGCAAGGATGTGCTTTAGTGGGAAGCCCTGAGAAGCGGGACCCTTGTTCCAGGCTGCGTCTCTGTGTAGTCACAAGCCTGTTCCCCATGTCCTGAGGAGGAAGGGTGTGGGGGAGTGCCTTCCTGTCCCCTTTGTAGTTGGAAAAGTCCCATGATGTTTGTGGGGAAAGGCAGTGATTGCTGCTCAGTCAGCTTCAGTGCTAGCATGAGTCTTAGGGGTCATGACACTATCTAAAGTTCTTTTTTGAATTTTGTACCACTGCTAGTCAAAAAGGAGCTGTTGGAGCTCATCTCTGTAAGTGATCAGACTGCATTGCTGAAACGAGATGTTCCCCAGATGTTGAGCTCTGTGATGCTGAGTAACAGACCTAGTGTGTTATGGAGATGTTTGCTTGTCCTGTAAGAGCATGCTTTTATGGCCAGATACACGTACTGACCAGTTCCTTTGATGCCCCAGGACCCCATGGACTTTGAGTGGAGCTACTGGGTTGAATGGGGAAGGGAACGTATACTGTGGCTTTTGGCTGGTCACCTGCTGGTATCACAAGTGTCCAGGCTCTTGGTGGAGAAGGTATGTATGGATTTTCTTCACTGCAGGGACTTTCTGTGGGTTTCAGTTTATTCTGGGTGTGGGAAACTCAGCACTGAGACTACTGAGTGTGGGAAATGCCATTCTGTGGGGTGAGTTGTGTGAGTGTGTCTGTAACTATGCACAGGTGAGAACACGTGGGTAGGTTGCCCTAGGTCTGTGTTTGGAGACTTCAGCCTCCAACCCTTGAAAGCCTGTGCTTTGTTGTGAACCATTAACCAGTGATGTTTGACCTGTACACAAAAGAAGGCTGTAGTTATTCCCTTCCAAGACTGCAGTGATGACTGCTTGGATTTTGGCATGATTGCTGTGAAAGGACTTGACCAGACTGTGGGTTTCTCTAAAGTGTCAACTTTATTGAGTTGTCAATAAAGCAAACCTAGAGAAAACTAGAAAACTCAGTCATTGCCATTACCTCAGTGAGTGGCAAGAGGTACATTCGAAACATCCTCTATATATATGATCCTACATGACATTATGTAACTGGTGTTTGGACTGGAAACGTTCTTAAAGTTCTTGCTGATTTCCCAAACTCTCAATTCTCCATTCTTCGCTGATTTCAAAAGTCTATTCAATTCCTTTTGTCTCAGCAGACCTCTATCATCTGTTTCGGTTCCTCTTTTGAAATTCATGTACATTGGTGCGGTCCAGCAATCACTCTTCTAAGAATCACTCAGGAGGTTATCTGTTCTTATATTCTAAGCTTCAGACATCATTTTCTGTTGATTCAGCTGGACTGGGTTTTAAGCTAGCTATGGTAGGGGCTATACACAGGATAAATGAGCAGCTCATAGTATTGTTCCACAACACCTGTGTCCTGTTAATTATAATCATAGATTAATCTTTATTCAGCTATTCACCTTATAGATTCTGCTAAGCACAACAGAGTACTTTAAAAGCAGCTAATTATTTTACAATTGCTAAATGATTGCATGGTTGTGGGAAGGGAAGGAAAGGAGGAAGTTACGTTCTCCCTCAAATTCGGGAGGCTCTGGGTTTCAGCCATGCTGCTGCAGAAACCCCTTCGCTTCCATCTCTGTGGATATAGTTGGGTTTACCTGTGTTGTTTCCTATGTGTTCTTAACCTTGTTGATTGCATTTGTTTCTACTATAGACCGTGTGTAGGAAAGCACAGATATGGAGTGCTTTTTTTTGCTTTAGGAATAATGAAACTAAAAATTGTTCACCTTTCTTTATCTAACAGTATAAACCATGGTGCTTGATGGTTTATGGAATGGCTGCCTGCTGGTTGTTGCTGGGAATCAAGGGCTTTGCTGTCATTTTGTTACATGCAACTATTTCATTTGCTGTGGCCCAGTTTCAACTGTCACTCCTGACATGGTTGTGCTCCCTTATCCTGCTATCCACTTTACGCATACCCGCTGTGGAGGAAGCCAAGGTAATGTGAGAAGGACTAATTAAGCATCAAATTTATTATAGTGACATTTGTCATTATGGCAGCTGTCTTTTTACAGAGTACTGTCCTTTCAGTTGATATAAGCAGAGGTTGGCTTGAAAAACCTTAGGCAGTGGAGCTGCAGTGACTCATGCTGAAGCTTCTCCAGTTAGAAAAGTCACATTTCTCAGTCATGCTGGCTGGTGCATTGAGATGAAAATATGTGCCTTGAAATATAAGTAGGTGTTGATTACAGCTGGAGTATGATAATACTTTACTAGTGCTTTAGTAAACACATTTCTTGTTCATTGAAGAGGTAATCATACCAATTTAAGGTGCAGGATTTTGGGCTCATTTGTGAAGAAATGTCCTTGTAGCGTTCACTTGAACTGAGAGGAAAAACTGGGCATATGTTATAAGGCTTGTTGCCCTGATGTTCAGGGGGAAGGCAGAGGGGAGATGAGGGCGTAGGGTCTCTTTATGTGGTGTAGACAGATTTCTGCCTTGCTGAGAAGAGCAAAGGGTCCACTGCAGTACTGATGTAATTGGCCAAACTATATTTGCTGTTTGCAAGTTTTTTGTGATTGTGTTTTTTGTTGTTGGAAGCAGGTGTGACAGGGAGCGTCAAAAACTTGAGAAAGGCTCTTGAGCTTTTTCAGGAGTGACTGATTCTCTTCAGATCTGAACTGCAGCCTTGGCTTCAGCCCTAGTAGTCCCTTGGCTGTCAGTAGGGTTGACAGTTGGTTTGGTTATTGTATTACTGGACCAAACCTGAGAGAGATAGTGGCATTACTGTAAGGAAAGCTCTCCTGTGGTCATAGAAATATATTATGTTATGAAGAACTGAAATCAAGCTGTTGTTTCTTTATGCTGGTTGCAGTAGCTCTGAAAGCTCTTTCTCCGTCAAAGCCAGTGCTTGTTGTTCATGCATTAATAGTGCTGTTCACTTCAGAAGCTCATTCCAGCTGCTGTTTGCTTTAGTTGCTTCCTGCTGCTGGTGACCTGAAAATTAGGATCTGGGTGGACATCACTGTCCAACCTTACAGAAAACATAGCATTGCACCATCGTGATCTGGCTTTGTTTTGTCTTGCAGAGAAAGTGGTATGACACTGAAAATGAGTATTATCTGCTGCTCTTCACTGTGTCTGTCCGCTGCCTCTTCTGCACTAGCTTCAGCCTGGAGTACTGCTGGCACGGGCCTGCCCAGAAGTCATCCCACTCATTCCTGTGGATGCTGGCATATGTGTTTTATTATCCCACATTCCACAATGGACCCCTTATGAATTTTGATGAATTCAGTAAACAGGTAACTGTTTTTAAGATCACACAGTTAATGGCTTTTTAGTGTATCTGTGCCTTAGCTGACTTGGGTGAAGAACTACTCAAGTGGATCTCTTTTCAGCTGTCAAATCTAGACACAGACCCTGGACTTTGAGGAATAGATTAAAGCATCATAGGTTAATTTTTTTTTCCTCATCTTGCAAGATTTTAATAACAGTCATGAGAAAATGCTAGGTAGTCAATTTCATCCAATTTTCCTTGAAATGCTCTTTTAATGGTGTGTTTCATAATACAGTTTACAGGTAAGCCTGAGTTTGTATTTATTTTTTAGTTACCTACTTGACAAAGGTTGATACTGATGAGACTTTCAAACAGAAGGTGTTCCTAATGTTATTCTGTATCTTTTCTCTGGGGGTGTTGAAGTTTGCTATATGCTAAAGGGAAGGCTGTAGTTAGAAACCAGTCTTGGGTATTTGTGCTTGTATGCCAGCCATGGCATAATACTGAACTTGCATAAGGCTGGTAACTAACACTGAGAATATATTTAGTCAATATATATTGTCAAAATAAGTCTTTATCTAGTGCTTCGATTGAGAGAGGTTGATTAGACTCCAATATTAGAGAAGGTGGAAAGAAAGCTAAATAGTTTTTGAAGGCTGGATGATTAATCTTATCTATCAGACTCTCATCTCTATTTCTTTCTGAAATAAATATTTTTTCCTCAACAAGGTACTCTGGAGAAAAAAAAAGCCTCAAAACCTACAGAGAAGGAATTTTCATTTGTGTGTTTTGACTTCAATAAAAGCATATAGAACTGATTCTGTCATATTTTCCTACTTACTAGTGATTTGGAGGATTTCAATTTTTAGTTATTCATTGGAGATTAAGAATTATTTGGGTGTCTAAAGCTATCTGCTACATAACGTATTTGATATTTTCAAAATTATTAGAATGTGAAGACTGGACAATTAATTGTGAGTGTAGCTTTGGGAATTTGACAATGTCCTGGATATCAACTTCAAGATGCTTTCCTCCCCAAGTTCTTCTACTTTACAGGATGCTTTTTTGTCTGACATCAGATTTATCCCTTCAACCAGGGAGACAGTGACACATATTGGTACATTGTGAGAGTGTTCATAATTTAAGCATGCAGCTGCTGATCTGAATTTTTGTTTTCCTCTCCTTCATCAGGTGGAATAAAGTAACATTTTCAGCAGCAGCTCGCTATTAACTCTGAAATGTCTTTCAGAGTCACAGAAAGCTGCTGGTTTGTATTGCGAATTCCTGAAAATCCCAGTTTCCCCTCATGCTGGTGTGAAAACAGCTGATGATTTACTTGGAACACTTTTCTTCAGACTTTAAGAAGCTGAGCAGCTCCTTTAATGTGAAAGACCTACCTGTCTTACTGAATGTTTTTCCTAGTGCCTTGCAGGCTGCTTTTCAAGCCTGCTTCTACGTGACAGGGGAAAACCTCACATTTCCATGCTTTATTGCTTTCCTTACTTCCTTGCACACTTGAGTAAGAAGTGACATCACCACCTGTGATGTCTATAGCTAACAATATTAGGATAAAGTGGATGAGTGGACATTTCAAACCATAAAACAGCTGATTCTGTTTATATATAGAAGCCTAGGCATTACTTGCTTTTGTTTATATTTGGAAACCATAGTAAATAGACTGAGCTTTATGGAAGTGAAAACTGAGATTCTGGTTGGACCCATGAGTGACAAGTCCTATGCTCATTTGTCTTCAGTAGCCTTGGAAGATGCAAGGCGGAATGTTGTTGTCCTGGGCTGGATGTTGTAGGAAAAATCCACATAGACTTGCATAGAAACGGAGGTAATTTAGTTTTTACCGTTTATTGTTTTGTACCTTCTGAAGTGTGTTAAATTCCACCTATATTCTTGTACCCCTAGCAGAGGGAGATGATTTTTTTCAAGGAATGTTTCAGAAGATGTAAGAGACTCAAAGTTATTTGAGAGCACCTTGGAGACAGCTGGTAGGAAAAATTGTTGAGAGGGGTGAGGGAGTGTCTTCTTGCATAGAAACTGAGCTCACCTGGTATGGCTCAGCAAAGACCACCTGTATTCTTGGTGTGAGGAGGAAAAGGAAGATTGAGAGTAGGATGTCTGTATTTGTGGTAGGTTCTCATTTAGATATGCACAGACCTGTTTGGTTAAAGCCATAAAGAAGATGGAACAAACTGAACAACCGTAATGTGTTTCTTGTTGGTGTTTGCTGAAGTCCATTGTCAGAGCTCGTCCCTGAGCAGAGGATATTGCCTTCACAGGTGAGGCTGGAGAAGGGTTTTGAAGTTTGAAGTGCCTAGCAGTTGATTCAAAGTGCACAATACAAAGTGTGTCTATTGCTGCTGTCAGAAAAGACCACCTGCAGAACCCCTTAACTGAAGCTGACACAAAGATGAGGGCTTCTGCTGAGCACACTGGCAAGTGGAAGTCCTGGAGATGGAGACAGAAACTGCTGTAATACCGATGCTGGCAGTTGGCATCCATTGCCAGGCAAAAATGAGAGACTGACATTTCATTGATGGCCTTGTTGAATTTCTGGGCATAGCAGTTCTAGTCATGGGTTTGAAGACCTGTTGTGCAAATTGCTGCGGTTAAATGGTAGTTTCCAACCTTTTATCTAGCTGGTACAAATGACCTTTCAAAATAAGTGTCCTGCTTTATTTCTAAGTGAGCAGAGCTAACTGGATGTTAGCTGCACTGTGTGCTTGCAATTGTGAGGGGGTTTTGCCTGTGCAGGTGGGTTGGTTGCTTATCTTTTATGTGTATTTTTGGTGACCAGTCAAGAGATTGGAGAAGGAGATGTTGCACACACACAATGATAGGTGCACAGAACATGATTAAATTTTTAGGCAAACCTATGTTTCTGTTGTTTGATCAGATTCTCTTTTACTGTGGAAAGAATGTAAAATAATAGCTTACCAATGTGTTTACTATAGGTAGCAGCACAAGAGTTGGGGGGCATCTTAAGCTTGTCAACTGCAAAACTTGTCTTATCTGGTATTTAACTTGCACTTAACTGCCATTTGTTCAGCATGTCATGTAGGTCTTGCTGACCTTGGCAATGCTACAGGAGAAAAATTAAGAACTGTCCTGAAATAATCCCATGCAGCTGGTAGAAGTTGAAGGTATTTTATGAGCAAGCAGTCATTGTTTCTGTGTGTGGTAGGGCTACTGCGTGGAAAACTTTCTCCTTCGTGGAAAACTTTCTCCTTCGTAGCTCTTGTTTCCTTAAACTTTTTTGATGGTCTCCAGAGGTTGATCAAGTTACAGGAATTAAAAGGAATCTCATGTCTGGATTCTTTTCAGGTTAATGGCACTTGACCTTTTCTACAACAGTTTTTGGTGCAGTGTATGTTCATGTTTGGGCTCTTGCTGATTTCTCCTGCTTATACTGAGATTGAGAATGGAGAGACCAGTCTCCCTCTAGAGTATGTCAGAAATTTTTGAATGGTGTAGTCAAATGGTCCCCATAGTAGTAGCAATAAATAGCAAATAAAATTTAAAAAAAGTTCTCAGGATGAGTATTTGAATAAAACAGTCAGTTATGTGCCATATAACCTCTTTGTATTTCTTCTTCAGATGAGGAGACAAGAAGCCTTCAGTTTGAAGACCAATCTCAGCATCTTAATCATGGGCATAATTCGTATTTTCTTTTGGTGGTGCCTGGCTGAGCTGATGATTCACCTCATGTATATCCACGCTCTCTACAGCAGTCCTCCACCTTTGGAAGCTGCATCATATTGGGCTTTGGGTGAGTGTAGAAACAATAGCAGAAATCTTCCTTCTCCTCCCACTTCAAGTACCCAAGTCTACCTCTTTTATGTCTGTCTTATGAATAGCACATGGTGGTCGGTCACTGTCAGAACGGTGGTCTACAGGCTCGTAATATAACATATAGGTCCCCTAAGAAGCTTCCAGTTGAACTTACTGAACTGGTTCCTAAATTAAAAAAAAATTCAGTGTATTTTCCAATCTGAAGTGTGTGTCTAAAGTTTTTACACTTAAAACAAAGCTTTTCTTTCATTTACAGATCAAGAAGGTGACATGTTAAGAATTAGTGTTTCTCATCCTTTATTGATCTCCTTCAGTGTTTGATGTTTCTAGTTTTTATTTGTGTTGAAAGGTAAAATGGCAGTACTCATGAAATGGAGCAGAGGGAAGGAATTCCAAACAAGGTGGCCTGAAAGTATCAGTCAGTGCTTCTCAGCTGTTTTCCTCCTTGACTTCCTCCTCTTCTGTCCCCTCCCAGCTCCCTAGTATTTCATCAAAATGCCTGACTCTAGGCCTTAAAATTGGGTTCTGAAAAAGCCTTGGTGAATGCTGAATTGAAGGAGATGCCTCTTTCCTGTTGCTTGTTGGTACAGTAATCAATGCACACGCTGGCATGGTCCCGTCAAGCAGCCACTGGAGTTCATGTATGATGAGCAGTGTGTGTTGGAGGGCACTTGTGAATTGGACTCTGGTCAGTAGGGGGCAATGTGTGCCCTCTGTGTATATAGGTATGTGCATCTATATACACACAATATATATTTCAATATATAATTTTTGTATATAAAAAAGGGCAAGAGCAGATAGCAGAAAGTGAGAGGTTTGCCTTCATGGTTCATTTTACACCTCCTCACTCAGTCACTGTTTAGAAAGTGGTTTCTGAATTTTCATCTCCTGTTCTAAATGTCAGTTCATTGATGAATTAAATCTGTTAGATCCTGGTATTGTCTGTATGTCTGACAAAAAGCTTGACACTGGATAAGACAGGCAAGGATACAGAATTAGGGACCAAATATTCCAGTTTTGGTGTTACTGGTGAATTTCTTCCTCTCTTCCAGACTACCAATGTTGATTTCTTTAAAAGAGGGGAAAAAAGTTACTTTTCGGACAATAGCTAAGTAGGCTGTATATTTATTTGATGAAATCAAGTGTTACATCTGATGAATTAAAATGCATTTTGAAGAGGTGATTAGAAAATACCTCAAAGCAACAGGTGATGAAAGCCAGTGTTAAAGCAAATTTGGACTGTAAAGCTGCCTGATTAAAACATGTTCGTTTGAATTGAAGGAAGTTCCCTGTGAACACTCTGCTTCTGAGAGGTGTGTTCAAAGTGTAACCCTACTCATGCTGAGCTTTGTCTTTGTAGTAATGGAAGGAGGTGTTTAAAATATTACAGTAAAAATTAGATTTTTAGGCAGAAGTTTGTAACTTCATAAAATGTTTTCTCTGCGGCTTTCATCACAATGATTATACAGGTCTCCTTAGACTCAAACCAGACAGACCACTGCTGTGACTTGCTTTAGGGAGCCACTGGTATATGTGTAAGGGTGCTGGTAATATTTTTCTGTCAATCCTTACTGGATCCTTACTGATCATACCATGCTTTTACGCCAGTTCTTGTGCAGAGCCAAATACTCCCCTCTGTTATTTCACATTCTGTTATTAAAACCAATTACATCAGCTAACAGATTCATGAGACCAAGGAAGCAGCTTGCTGTTGAGTTAAAAGAATTAAGTACCTGGTATATTAGCTTTTCTGCACTGCTGGGGTTTTGTCTCCCCCATTTTGTTTCCTATTTAACTACAGCAGCTTCAAAGCAGCCCAGAGCATCTACTTACATTGTGATGCCTGGCTAGCCTGATAGCCTAGTAAGTTTAGGGGAAAGGCTGTGAGGCTGTTTTGCAATCATCTCTCATTAGGGAGATTATAACTGCTCCTCCATTTTTCTTCTGGGATATCTTTGAATGATTGCAGTAAATGCCAGCAGTGCAGGTAAGGACTACAGTGCTATGAAATTCTGCTCTTGGCATCTTAAGGGTAATGATGGTGGTCAGTCCACACCTCAGAAGTGTGAAACTACACTGTATTCTGCATCATTTCGTGTGGTGTTCCTGTGAGGTGAGACTGCAAAGAAATAAAAAAAAAAAACCAAACCCTGCCTAAGTTGCAGTGCTTGTTTAAAAATGCCAGTGTACAACATTGTCATTTATGGCTGCGCAAAGCAGAAATGCTAAAGTTACCTAATGTAACATTATTGAGTGCACACAGGTATAAACTTAAGAAAAAATAGTACCTGGGAGAATGTTACCCAGCAGTAAGAAGAGTATTTTCTCTACTGTGGAAGGAATTAGGCAAATGAGTTTCTAGAAGTAACAATATACAAAATAGTGCATGTATGGTTCTGATGCCTGTGTATTCAGCTGTAGCAAAGGTGCAAGCTGTCCTCAGTGTTACTGTTTGCATGCATTAGCTACCATTAATCCATTTTGTGAATTGTATGGCTGTGTTTTAAACTTTTTAAATTTTTTAACTCGTGTCCTTTTGCAACTAAACCAAAGATCCTCTTAGGTCAAATGTTCAAGAAGTTATTTTTTCTATGCCATTTACAAAACAGCATCTGCATTACTGAAACAGTATTCTTGCCTATGAGGTTGTTACCTTATTCCTTTCAATTCATTTGCAAATACCTAGTTCTGTGTATTCTCCTACTCTTCTGAATGTGAGCATGTCAAATTGTGGAGTTTCTTTCCTTCTAGAGGAAGCCACCTTCTGTCCCAGATAACCGAGCTGGGCTGTATGTTTCTTGTGGCACGTGTTACCATAGTGTCTTAAAGGCTCAGAGGGCACTGCAGCCTTGCTTCACCCTTTGCTTGTTGTATATCATACAGTCTCTTTATTGTCTCTGTAATCTGGGTAGGTGAAGCCTGTGTCTTGAATAAACAATGATGTGGCACATCCTTTCTTGCATTATTGTTGTACTATGGATGGAAGAACTGCTGTAGTTGAAGTATCTGTGCAATCTCCTTAATTGCTGTTATATGCAGGTTATATTTGTAACTGGCAAGTTTCAAGGTCATTAACTGGGTGATAAGAGCGTTGGGAATTGTGAGCAGAAAACTAATGACAGTGTATGTGTAGTTCATGTAAAGGCAGGACCTTCAGTTCTCTCCTGGTCACCCCTGTTTTCCTGGATTACTCCTCTCCCTGTGTTTCATAACTTCTGCCTGGCGGCCACCAGTAAAGGCAGTTTATGTTCCTGCCCTGTGGATCAATGAGCTATGGAAGTACATAGTCAGCAGCCTGCTCCAAGAGACAGCAGGTTGCGTCCTCTGTGCATCAGTCCTTTAATGAGTAGACAGTGTCTTGTTGCATTATGGCTCCTGGATTTTGGGCAGTTCAAATGAAAAATGGTTGGAGTCCTAGCTGGAGGGTCCTCTGAAGAACAGCATCTTTCTTAAAACTCTTCATATTATTTAGAAGAACTTCTCTACTGAATGAGAAGATGGGCATTCTTTATTTAAGCTCTTCAACTACACAGTTAAAAAAAAAGTCAATAGTTTAATTCATTTTTTCCATTTTTTCCATGTTGAACATTTTTAATTGGATTTCTGTCCATGATGTGAGGAAAAGCTAGTTGCATCCACATCTTTCATGGACTAAATACAATAAGAATCTATTATGGATCTGATTTCAGTGTATCCCCTCCCCTGCTCAATACTACAAACCCCATGTGCCACATAGATATCAGAATTTCTCCTGCCACATATTCCTCCTCACATTTAAATTGTTTCCTTTAGCATTCTACACATACTTCTTTAAACTTGCATGCTTATATCATAGCACACTGTGGCCCTGGAGACAAATGCCTCGTGCACTAACAAAAAGCTGTATCGTATGGGTCTGAAGAAAGTGTAATTTCATGCTGTGAGTACACAGTTCTATTCTGTTTCCTTGGTGGCCTGTGTTTGGTAGCAAAAATAACCTCTAAGAGGAAATGCCAGTCTCCGGTATGGAGGAAGAGGAGGTGGTGAGAGCTAGCTTTGGGTAGAGGTGCTTTTAGATATCCACATATTAACTCTTTTGGGTAACTTCAGGTATAAATTATTTCCAGTCATTGACCAGAGCTCCAGCCCCCACAGAAACTTTATTCTCTGTATGGGGCAGTGGGCATTTCAGTTTCACAAAAAAAACCAAAAAAAAGCCAAACCAAAACAAAAAACTAATCTTGACTCTGAATCCTTTTGAATTAATTTGTCCTGGGGAAAAGATAGCATTTTTCCAATACTTTTTCCCTTAGCTATGTTTTTAATATACACTTGCTATATCTTGTTCCCAATTTAAGATAATGCTCGTGTGTGTTCTTTTTAAGCTTTAAATTGAACACTAGAGAACAAATTGTGTGATATTGTTAATGAATTTGAGAAATTTAGCATTGATCTTGTATTTCTTTTTTTTTATTATTTCATGTTTTTAAGTCAGGTGAAGCAGTGTACTTCTGGCTGCTTTGTGCTCTAATGGAGCAAATGAAAAGCAGCTGGAATGTCTCAGGTTTGCAAGAAGGTTTAAAGCCTGTGCCTGTTGCCAGAGCAGCCCAGAAGTTGTGTGGCTGTGCATCTTGCCCTTAGTTTTCCATGTGTGGCCAGGACTCTCACAGCTGGGATGAGTTGAAGACTAATGAGAACTTCTACATATTTTGATAGGGACCTTCACATTGCTGGTATTGTGAGCCTTAGGATTGCCACACACAGAGCAGCTAGTGTGTGCCAGGTAATGATAAGGGATGGGGTGTCTGTGATTGTTTAAGACACCACTGCTATTGAGCTGTTCACTAGTTAACTGTATGACAAATTAGATGTATGTTATTGGAAATGGTGAAAATGTTATTTTGTTTTTCTGAAACTCAAGTATTATAACTTTGTATCTGGGAACTCAGAATCTTTCATTATTGTATTTAAAATCAAATGTATTGATTTTCAGATCTGAGAGGGGTAGTCTGTGTCTCTGAATCTGTCTTTCCATCATGCACAGACAAATGGTTTTGAATTTTACCAGACAGCTGTGATCTTCATAATCGGTTTGTGTGGGTATCAGCACTCAGCTCTCCAATGAAATTTGTCAGAAAAAAAATGAGAAACTGAATGAGATGGGAATTAAAGCAGAAAGTTGGCTGTATAGATGATTTAGCAGTAATCTAATGTGTAGCTAATTGGCTAGTATCCAAATTGTGCTTCTGATTGTTTGCTTTCCTCTGGGGAAGAATCTTGTTGAACACTACATGACTGCTTCCCTGAAGGACAATACCATAAGCTTCATGTCTAGGTATTTAGTTATAACATCAATTTTTATCTGCTACGGCACAACTGTTTCTTACATCATGGATGTGGATCATAATATTCAAACTAAAAATGCTGGATTCTAGCAGCAAAATGCTGGCCATGTCTAGGCCAGCAGGAGTTTTGCAATTTATGTTATTTGTGCCAGAATTTCACCCTAGGTTGTTATATAGTAGGTGAATTTTTAATGTTTAACTTGTGGTTGTCATCTATAGTATACTCATTATTCATCAGAATGCAAAAGGAATGTTTTGCCAAAAAAAAAAAAAAAGGCAGATTATTTAGATATTCATGGACTGCTGCAGTCAGATTGAAAACTTTGTCTCCAAGTAAGGTCTACTGGAAGGTTTTAAAATTACATTAAATATCTAAAGTACACCAGTCAAATCACAAGTTAGTATCAGTGAGGTAAAGCTAAACACTGGAAAGGAAAGAGACTTAACAATTGCATTTTTTATGTTATTCTTCCAAATTGTAATAATTTTGCATTCCCTCCTTTGGGATTAGATTTTACTTATGTCAACTGTGAGTCAGATGGAAAAGTTCACTGAAGTCAGTGGAACTTTTAGGAGTGAAATCTCACCAGTTTATGTAAAGGTGTTGGCCTCTGCTTTTTACTGAATTTTTTCTTATGATTACGCCAAATGCCTTTTTATTCAGCAGTAAACATTTAGAATATTAATTTTTTGTTATGATTATGTCAAATGCCTTTTTATTCAGCAGCAAACATTTAGAATATTAGTATGAATCGTCTGGCTTTATAATGTGTTCTAAGATTGTTACACTCATGAGTAATAACTCTGAGAATACCCAGTATGATTTTTCATCTCTCACCTGTGCAAGATGCTGCATTTTGTGCCATACCCTGGGGTTAAACTGTGAGCAAACTGACAAAATTGCTCCTATGGAAATTGGGCACCTAAAGTACCTTAAGGAGGCCTTTGTCCTGTGGGTTTAAAAACTGAAATGTGCTTTAAGCATTATGCCAAGTGAAGTTCCAGTCTTGTACACCTTGGCTGCAGCAGGAGGTGTTTTGAGGGACACAATCTGACAGTACATGAGATGTTTGTGGAGCTGTCAAGATAAGCTGGAAGGATAACCATTATTTATACCTATTCTGGAGGAACAAGTGAGGAGTGGTTGATTGGGTTTTTTCGCGAAGGTAGAATTTATCGTCCCTGTGGCAAATGTTTATTGCTTGTATCAGTATGCTCTGATTTTTAGTTAACATAAGTCAGTATTTATTTGTTTTTCATAGCAGTCAGTACCCATGGTCCAAAGATTTTTGGAAGTGGAACTACAGATACTTACTTATGCCTTCATATTGGAATTACGGTACTGTTTTGGGTGTGTGTGCCTCAAGTCATAGTTGCATGTGCCTGTGTCCTATAGCTGTTCCAAAAGTAGGTATTGTATATCCCATCAACTGATGACGCTTGCTTTAGTTCTTTGAATAATGGCTCTTTGGAAATAATCAGTATTAATGGGTTTTAAAAGTATTTCAGGACTTGTTTAAGGTGTGGTGTGTTTTTTTTTTTCTTTTAGGTGGACTGGCTTTAGCTCAAGTACTATTTTTTTATGTGAAATATTTGGTTCTGTATGGTGTTCCTGCCCTGCTCCTTCAAATGGATGGACTCAAACCTCCAGCTCTGCCTTGCTGTGTGAGCCTGATGCACAGTTTCACAAAAATGTGGAGGTTAGTCATTATTGCTTTTCAGACAAGCAATACTGATTTTGTTACTGACGTATAGCAGTCAGTGTATAAGAACGTGTGTGTGTGTGTGTGTTCATGGTCACGTGTTTGCTTGCCTGTCCTTGTGCTTTTTCTCTCACCCCCACTTTCTAAATGAACTTCAATTTGATGATTACTTTTTTCACACTACAGAGGGTAGGGGCCAGCATACCTTTCAGCATTTTCATCCTCTTAATTATTAGAATTAGACTCAGCCTTCTTAGCTTAACTAACATAGCAATTTTTTTCCTGATATCTATTAAGTGGTTTGTTTTTCAGTCTTGGTCTATAGCCCATATTTCAGCTAGATATTCTTCCAGAGAAGGAAAAGAAATGCTTGATTTTAATCACTCAGTGAGAAAAGCTGTGGTTGCAATGCTTCAGTAGGTAGAGTCATCCAGTAGAGAGTCTTCAACATACTAAAAATCATATGAAAAATGGTAATTGTTTGTAATGTAGGATGAATTTCTGGATCCCCTTGGCTTTTAAAGAGCTTCAGCACAATGTTTCATGTAAGTATTGGTTTTGAACCTTACAGTTGCTTTAAATCAGTATTTGCTGAAGCATTTTCCCTGAAAACTGTCTCCCAGTTGGATTCTGCTTGCTCTTTAGACTATGTGTAACAGTGGATTCAATTCTCACAGAATCACAGAATGTTAGAGATTGGAAGGGACCTCGAAAGATCATCTAGTCCAATCCCCCTGCCGGAGCAGGAACACCTAGATCAGATCACACAGGAACGCATCCAGGCGGGCTTTGAATGTCTCCAGAGAAGGAGACTCCACAACCTCTCTGGGCAGCCTGTTCCAGTGCTCTGTCACCCTCACCGTGAAGAAGTTTTTTCTCATATTCAAGTGGAACCTCCTATGTTCCAGCTTGAACCCATTGCCCCTTGTCCTATCACTGGGTGTCACAGAGAAGAGCCTGGCTCCATCCTCCTGACACTCGCCCTTCACGTATTTATAAACATTCATTAGGTCACCCCTCAGTCTCCTCTTTTCCAAGCTTGTTTTCCTCTCGCTATCTCTAGTTCCTCCAGTCTGTGGGATGCTGTGCCCCAGACTTCTAGAAACATCACCTAAAATGATTTAGACTTCTCATCTTTTTAGTGCAGAGCTTTCTCTTGTGTTGTGTTAGTGCAGAGCCTAGTGCAGTGGTGATTACCCTGTTTGGTCTCTGACTGCTTTGCAATATGAATAAAGCTCTTTCATTTTAATCGTAAAAACAGAGGGACTGCTATTATCAGAGCTTTATTGGATGAGATTTTAATTTTGTTTTCAGTTGAAGTTAGTTGTAGCAAGAAGTCTTTATAGTTCATAATAGTTGGCAACTGTAGATATTGTAGTATTCAAAGAAATGCAGCAGAAATAGAGTGCAGAAAACAGATGAACTGTTAAAAATTATTTGAGCTACTAGCAAATGCCTTGGTTTAAATTCTCTTTCAGAGTTTGAGCTGAACTTATGACCTACAGAGTTAATACAGAAATCTGGTTTTTACCAGGCACTCTGAGATCTGCATCTTTTGCCCTGCTGGCCCTTGCAAGCAGAGTTGCAAACAGCAGCATTTTTTTTCCTCACCTCACAGTTATTATTCCAGGAAATCTGTGTATTGCTCTGGAGGTGCCAAATGAAACTGAACTTCAGCACAGACACTGCTGTGCCAGGTAGTTGTAACAGACTGTGAACAGGTACTCTGTGTCTGCAAAGGTGTGTGGTGTATCACAGTAAAAAGTATTCATAACACTTATAAGCAAATTCAAACTGTACCTAAGCAGAAAGGGTATTTTTTCACAGAAGGGAAAAAGTCAACTGCTGATATTTAGCATTTGCATAAGTATTTCATTCATATATATATATATATATATGTATATCAAGCATTCTCTACCAGAAAGAATAAAATATTATGTAATAGGTGGGATTTATTTGGTTGGTTTGAGGTTGAAAAAATCAGTTCATGTACAGCTGACTTGATTTCTTGCTCTCAAAGCCATGTGGATAGTAGAATTTACTATGGCTGCTAGTGAACTATAGGTCATTCTCAATTATCAAAGAAATCTTGTGTCACTTGCTCTCTGAATTCCTGAGTTATGATGTCCTTATGCCTTTACAGTTAAACTCTTCAATCAGTACTGTCCAAAGGCTTTGCAGTCTTTTTGTGTGTTTCCGTATATTATATGGGAACGTCAGTATTAGAAGTTGGGGATAACCTTTGTTTCTAAACTGTATGACTCTTTTAACAGGACAGGAAGCATGGAAATCACAGGTTTAGCATAAAAGCTAGCAACCAATGGTGAAAGTAAATAGCTTGGGTTGTGAAGCCTTATGAACAGTGAACACTGTGTTTCCTTAAAGTGCTAAATACTTTTTTGTAGTTTGTGAATACATGCACTTTTAAGTGAACGTTCCTAACACCTTTATCAGAGTGGGTCGAATTTAAATGTTAGTAACACAGTGCCTAGTTTTTAAGCTGGTGAAGAGATTTGTAGCAGACTCTGTTCTCATAAAGTAGTAGCCTGGTAAAGCTTATTAAAAGCTCCTGGGGCTGGGTTGGGAAATGGGGTGGGGTGGAATGATCCAGATGACATGGAGTTTCCTCCTGGCTGGCATCAGGGAGGCTGCTTGGAAAAAAAGTGCTTGTGAGTGCTTGGCTTGCTCTTACCCTTCACGCTGCTGTCTGCTTTAGGGTACTCTCAGAAGCAGGGTATTATGCTAGCTAGGTTTTCAGAAGACCCTGTATTGCTATTTTTATGTCTCAAAGCTATTAGCAGCGCAGATTTTGAAGGGAAGAAGGTAGCCTGATGAGAAAGACACCATGAATGTCACAATGTAAGGAATGCAAATATGCCATTAAGGAGTCTTCCACCACCACCTGGTGTCCTTTGAGCATAACAACAAAGCTTTTGATCTGATACATCCAGACCAGTGTCACTTATAATCAGTACATGCTGACATAATTCACTATGTGATACAGCAGGTGAAAATCTTTCAATCAGGAAGGTAAGAAAGATACCAGAGTGTGTCTAAAATTTCTCTAGAGCTGAAAGGCAGAGCAGGTGTTAGAAAAACAAATCAGGTACTCTGCCTCCGTATTTATGGTACTAAACAATAAACCAAATTCTGTCCATTCAAACTGAAAAATAAAAGGCTTTAATTAAAAAGGAGCTATCAACTTTATAGTAGATTCTGCCTAATTTGCATTTTATTAAATCAGGACAATCTCTTCAGTCAAAAAAATTAGGATTCTTGTTACTATCTCAAGACAAATACAGGTGTTGAATGTGTTACTGTGGTTTCATTTTGCTAGGATATCATCTTGCTAAATATGCAGCTGCATAGCTAATAAATGCATGGTAAATTTGTTAGTATTCAAAAGCTTGATTATAGCTGTGAAAAGGAGTTTCTGAGCTGCTGTTTTCCAGATAGGGCAGCAGTTGAGTGGCACAGCAACTTAGTTTTTAATATCTGCTTTATCTGAAGTCATGAGGAATTAAAACTTGTTTTTTGTTACCAAGGTTAAAAACAAGGTAATGAGTTGTGTGAGAGCAACCAGTGTTGGAAACTTGCAAGTGCTGTTAAAGAATTGGTCAAGTCTGATGTCTGCCATACAGCTGCTCAGGTGGGGGGGGTGGATTGTGTAGTGCAGCTAGAAAAAGTGCTACTGCTGAAACTTGCAAATCGGTTGAATATGGAAAAACATCCTGCTGGAGAAGTAAGGGTGTGGAAACTACAGAAACAATAGATAGTACATAACTAAATCCTATATCGATTTTCACATATCTGTAAATTCCTTTGACAATGTATTCCGCAAACAAACTTGTCAGTTTGTAAATTAGGACAACGTTTAGCACAGATGCTGTTCATGAAAAAAAAAATCATGCTTCTAGTTTTATGTTTCCATACTATGTTACTGAGTGTGGTGAGCGCTCTTCTGTGAAGATGTTGGACACATTGATCAGATGTGTTTAGACACACTGTGGGAAGAGCATGACATAAGAAATGAGTTATCTCTGGTCATAGACTGATATGAAATGTGTAGAAGCACAACTCCTCTTCTCTGCCTTTCTGCCTTAGATTTTGCACATTCCCAAGTATCTTATCCCAAAATAATTTGGGACAAGTGTGTTGGGGACAAATTGTGCTAAAACTTTACACGTGTTTAATGTTGGTTAGCCTCAGCAAGGGTAGAAGTTCTTCAGGAAGGCAGTAAGAAGTAGTATTTGAAAGGTAGATTTCACAGGAAACAAAATTTCATCCAGAATTAAAAAAAAAAAAAAGGAGTTGAAGAAATGCTGCCAGATAAAAATAAAATAATGCAATGATGAAGAAAGATCTGTCCATTTTCAACTACTATGCTGCAAGTTCTAGATTCCACTTTGTATTTGACACCCTGATTCTTGACCAGACAGGAGCCTGACATAAGTCAGCCCCTCATTTTCTTGCATGCTAGTGGCCAGACTAGGAGGGCTGTATTTTGCATGTACAGACACACCTGCCCGCTTTTATGTGAACACATATTAAGTTAATCCCACAGATGTTTTGGTGACATTGAAGAATGGCATCTGGGTTATGATTTGAAAGAAATTGTCTGCAATTCAGTCTGCTTTACTTGCCTCGTTAGTGCGAAAGCATTGCTTGCCTTATATGAGAAAAGTGGTCTATATGCAAGGTCTCAGTGAATTGCTCCAAATTATGGATTAGAATTTTGTTGTAGGCTAGTCACATTCTTGGCTATAACCATGCCACAGAAAATGGATCTACAAATGAAAATATAATCTTATCTGCATCTGTTTCTTCCTCATCATGATACTTTTTGTCTGCCTTCACTGTTCTTGAAACCTTCCCCTTCTGGAAACAGTTCAGTCCTTTCTGCCTATCAGAAAAGACTGTACAGGATATTTTCCCTTCCTTTCAATTTATTTTCTTGGAAAAGACAGTCTGCTACTGATGTTATGTGTGAGTACAAG